AAGCACTGGGAACACACTGTAGTTATAATTTAGGATTATTATGGGTAAGTCCATTAAAACTGCATTTACTTGAATAGATCTATAGGTTTGCTTGATTTTATTTTCAAAAATTTTTTTCAGGGACCCTTCGGTAAGTTTGGGATATTAGGAAGAAGCTCCAAGAAGTTAAATACACATCCGCAAACTCAAAACAGCTGTAATGCCCACCTCTGTTTACAAATGAGAAAAGATCATTAAAGGAAGTCAAGGTCACAAAAGATTTCTTATGGAGGTACTAGAGCATCCAGACCACCTGAGGAAGAGAAGTTGCAGCTAAAAGGATATCTCTTTCGCCAACGGGAAAGGCATTCATATATAATAGTATGAAAGCTTCTACATGGATGATTTTATTTGCTTTCCAAGACACAGCTCTGTGATAAGTCCAAAGGTGGTATTATTCACAAGTTCAAGTACAGTAAACTGAGACACATAGATGGAAAACTCAAAGTTTGGAGCATGCCTTCTGACTTAGGAGCTACTGGTCTTCCCATTACACTCCCATGATATCTTGTCTTACTGTTCCAAGGTGACATCCATACTAACACACAATCCTAAAACATGTTGGAGTGGAATCCTTCATAGTCTTCCTCTTGGGTAGGTTGTGAGAATTAAACCAAATCAACATGAGAAAAATACTTAGAATAGTGTCTGCCAGTTGTGTGCCTATATCTGTGTGTACTAAAATAGACATGTACATGTGTATATCTAAATACCATATGTATATATACATACATATATATACACACATATGGACAACTGTATGTAAACATGCGTGCATACATAGTCCAGTCCATGCACGCACACACACATACACACACACAACTTGAAAAGGGATAAGGAAATAATGATTAACATTACCAGGTTAATCCAGTAGGACTCTTTACTATACCTCTAACCTTAGAGATGAAAAAAGAGACAAAAAATTTTAAGAACTTTTGTTTCATTTTCTTCACCTACTACGTTTGAAGAACAGACATGCATCTGAAAACTTTTAAGTCTCTATTTAGAGTAAGGAAAGCAAAGATTGCCTTGGCAATATGATCGTGAAGCAGAGAGGCAGAGAGCATCCCCTCCCCCTGGCCAGTCAGACTACACCGCCAGGAGGCAATCCTGCCCACCAGTAGGACATATGTTTCTGCCTCAGCATGCTAGGCCTCTAGGCCTCGTGCATTTGGAAGAGGAAAGGAGATATTCCAGCTTCTCACTTCATTCCCAGTTCAGCTTCTGAGCAGACTAAGTCTTCTGCATCTCTTGGAGGTATTTTTGCATCTCTAGGGGAAGGGAACATTTCCAAGGAAGGTCAAAAGTGCATCAGTTCAAAAGCCAGACTGGGTATTTTCTGTCCTCTGAGGAACTGTTCAAATGGTGTGTGTGTGTGTGTGTGTGTGTGTGTGTGTGTGTGTGTGTGTGTGTGTGTGTGTTTGTGTCGTTTAATTCTCACAACCTACCCAAGAGGAAGACTATGAACACTCCAACATGTTTTAGGATTGTGTGTTAGTATGGCTGTCAGTAGGAACAATAGGACGAGATATCATGGGAAAGACCAGTGGCCGCTAAGTCAGAAGGCATGCTCCCTCAACACCCAGTAACTGCACTGTCAGTTAGTGAGTATTGAGGACTACCCCACACCCCACCCACGATTCAGAGGGGGGCAAGTGCCATCCCCACCCCCATAGGCGCACGTGGTGTGTGGGGGGCGATGGGGGTTTGGGGGGGGGGGTGCGCGCGCTGCGCAAGGAGGCGGGGATGGCACTTGCCCCCCTCTGAATCGTGGGTGGGGAGTGGGGTAGTCCTCAATGCCCAGTAACTGACAGTGCAGTCTCCTGCTGGGCCGGTTTGAATATCCTAGGAGTAGCCTGGATGGCTGAGAATCATCAAGGATGGGGGTGCAGGTCCTCCTAAACCTCCAGAAAAGATCTCAAATCTCCAAAATCTTTAAGAATAGAAAAGAGCATGGAGAGCGGAAGGATTCAGGGAAGAGAAACCGGAGATATCACAGAGAGAGCCAAATTGACTTCAGAACATGGGTTTGGGCAAGGGGAGAATACAGGAAGAACATCTAAAACCTTCAAAAAAAAAATCTAAAACCTCGAGGCGAATCCCTGCTCGCCCCGTGTGGCCCGCAATCCGTCTGTCAGCAGCGGGCGCTTGCCAGCCTGTCAGCCCTGGGCCCAGGGCTGCGCCTGGAGGGGCGCCTTGGCCTCCAGCTCACTGCCTGGCCCTGCAGGCGCTCCTCCGTCTCACCCAGCACGTCCTCTGGCCAACGGAGTCCGATGAGTGGTGGGTGGTGGGTGGTGGATGGAGAACGAAACTGGAACCTCGGACCCGCTACCCGCTAGGCGAGCCCTCGGAATCCATCGGGGTGGGAAGGGGCGCACTTCCCAGCAACTGTACTTGACTGGTCCCAGCTTTCCAAGGTTTCCCCGCTCGGGGTCACACTCCTCTGTCACGCTCATTAGGAGGGGAGCTGCGTGGAGGGAACCCTAGTAGAAGACACAGAAGGGGGTGCACTGGGATGGATGGGGCAAGTGCGAACGCCGGCTGGACACCAGTCACTACCCCCCACCCTGCCCTGCCCTCCTTGGCATCCCAGGAGGCGGAATATCCGTGCTCAAAACTAGCCTGCGTGCGGCTGCAACTGCAACAGTGGTGACTCTGGGCCCCTGAGGGCGGCAGAGCCTAGGAGTGGGCCCGGGGCCATAGGAACTTTCCCCAGGTGGGCCCGGTTTAGGTCTGTGCTCTCCGGCTCCGGGGAACTGTGCAGTGATGTGCCTGCGTCCTCTTGTTCCCAGAACGCACGCCTGTGGGCCCGCGCTGCATCCTGCAAGCTCCTCCTGAGAAAGGCGTCCCCAACACTCGCCAAATGGGGAGGATTGAGAATCCGCTCCAGAGCTCGCTCAGAGACTGCAGGTGCGAGTCGCGAGTCGCCACATCCATTCAGGCATTCTGCCCCAAACTAGCACACAATCAATGCTGGTGCAAAAGCCGGTTGGTCTTCCCATTCCTCACTCTTTATCACCTGTGGGCTCCGCCCCCGGGAGCTCAGGGCACCTGCCTGGATCTCATGGGGCCTGCTAACTCCAAGTCTGCATGATCCTGTGACCTTGTTCCTCCTGCACCATGTGCAGACATGTGTGCCCATGGCCTTAGCCAGCGACGGGAGTTAACTCGGCAGGCAGGTGGGGTTATGGAATTTAGAAACTCTCATCTGAGAAAATTCAGACACGGGGAGAGTTAGGATAGATCTGAAAGCTGGAAAATGGAGGATTAAAATGCAACATTTCTCAGTTTGCCTTGGCGTAGGGCAAAACTATCTCTGGGCACCCTTCCCTTACTTCCCTCTAAAAAAGGCCTTGGGGGCAGATTGATGGGTATAGCTGCTCAGCCCTAAGGTGTATGACATGAACACACCTACCTGGATCGCCTGCGCAGTAGCTCAGCCAAGGCTGGGCTTTCTCCCTGAGTGTATGATTAAGCTAATGACCATACAAAAGAAAACGCGGGGAAAGCTCAGGGAATGTCTCCATGTATCCTTCAAAAAATATGATTCCTGACTAGGAGACAGCCGTTTTCCAAGCAGCAATTGCTTACCTTTTTTTTAACCCAAGTTCATCTCTGAATCCCCAACAAGTCATAAAGCCATCAGAGTGAAAAGGATTCTGGAAGGATAGGGCATAAGGAAGGAGCATCCAAGTTTTATTTATTTTTTAAAAGTTAGGCCCCAAGCATCCTGGAGTGTGTGTGTGTGTGTGTGTGTGTGTGTGTGTAATTTTTTTTTTTTCTGAGATCCATTAGTGCCCCATCTTCATACTAGTCATGAATAGGAGTTGGAACTGGAATTTTGGACTGCTCTTCTCATCACACTTTGCTGGGGTTAGTGTTTCAGATCACCCTCAATCATCTTTTTTTTACCAATCAGAGTCACATTCCATCTCTTTGCCCTACCCCTAGACTTTACCTGTCCCCTGCCCTAATCATAACTTGTTCTGCAATCACCTTAACATAACAAAGCCTTTAAATCCTTTGAGGGAAAGCTTTGCATGTCTACAATGAGATCATGTGCAAGTTTCCCATTTCAGGCCTTTTCATAAGTGTCCTCCTTCTGACAGGGGAGAGTGGGCAAGATGTGAAGGAAGGGGGAAGGTGTGGAAGGGAACACCTCTGACAGGTAAACCAGTGTCAGGTCTGTAACTAAAACATGCAAAATGCCCAGAGACTAAGTTCATGCCATCCTGAGACCTAAAGGATCCTCATCCATCTGGTTTTGCATCCAATGGTTGCTGGATATACCACACACTCTCACATACACGCCATTTAACTAAGATTTGTTGTCAGTCTGTGGAGATTATAGAGGGACTTTTCAGAAGAGGAAAAGCAGGGAAAGAAGGAAAGTTATGGTAATACTCCAGAACTAGTTTGTTTTTGTTTTTATTTTTCCAGAAGCTGCACAAGTCTTTAGAAGGAAAGCTGGGCCCTGCAGTATAGACTCCTGTGGTACTTCCACCTTGGTTTCTGAAGAAACTCTCCATAGGGCCTCTTCACGGACAGTGACAGAATGCTAACAAGATACACTCCCACACAAGCATCACCAACAGAACCTTTATTGGGCCTTTCATCTGGTTTCCCTGATCCAGGCCTGAAAATTACCTGTGGTCCAGTTGAAAGATGCTAATTATCCTACTGCTGAAAAAAATGGGCACATCCTAATGACAAGTTAGCTTCATGGCAGGCATCTTTGTTTAAATGCTTTGTCCTTTGATCTAGCTAAAGATTTTCCAAATAATAACCAAACCTGGACCTTTCTCTTTTAGGCTCTTAGAGAAATAAATGCAAGTGGGGCAAGGTTTAGCACCCCTCCCCTGCTAGCTCTCCTTTTCAGGGACTCGGTGAAAGTAGATGGTATCTACTCCAAGTGTGGCTCTTGGCTACAAAAATATACTTTAAAAACACTTTCCAAATAATTGCTCTGAAGAAAATAGTCATTTATTGTCAAAGCATCCAACATACCCGGATAATCTATAAAGATTAATAAATCTTTCCAGGGATAAAAGAAACACGTAACTATTTCAGACTCCATTTCACCGGCACAAAAGTTACACTTTGTATGAAAAGGAAATACATATTTACATAACGATGATATTCTTCATTGAAGTCCATAGTCATTTCATGATACATGCACTTCCCCCTGAAACCGCCTTTTTTATAAGAACGCAAACCGTCATCATCGGTCAATGCAGAAAGCATCTCACCCTCCTCCTTTCCTTCATATCTAAAATAAATTTTGCCCTTACATATAATTATTACATCTAGACTGTAAGTGCTTAATAATTTAAGTAGAAACGTATGACAAATGCATCAATATGTTGCAATATATGACATTTTAAAAATGTATCCTTGTTCTGGGGAAAGTGAAAAAAAATGCGTGCATTGAAAAGAAAAAGCCCTCAAACAACCCACCCGATCAAAAATCCACCATCCTGTCTCCTGTGTGCGTGTGCTTGTGCCTGTGTGTGTGTGTGTGTGTGTGTGTAGTGTAGTTGTAGGTAAACATTTGAATGAGATGACTGGATGGGAGAAGAGAAGAGAAGAGAAGAGAAGAGAAGAGAAGAGAAGAGAAGAGAAGAGAAGAGAAGAGAAGAGAAGAGAAGAGAAGAGAAGAGAAGAGAAGAGAAGAGAAGAGAAGAGAAGAGAAGAGAAGAGAAGAGTTGTGTGTGTGAGAGATGTCCCTCAGGGTGCAATGTTTCAGGTCACAGGGAGGCGGTGGGTGCCCTCCTGTGCTTGTGCCTACAGGTGGCTTGGCTGTGCGTGGAGAGCTGGGGTCCCTCCCGGGTCAGTTGTGGGAGGTCATGTGCCTGGACAGGTGGTGGCGCTCCCTGAAGGACTCGTTGCAGATGGGGCACTTGAGCTTCTCCTCCCGCCTGCGCTTCACCAGGGGCTCCATGGCGTACTCCTTCTTGTGGTGCGACCGCATGTGGTACACCAGGTCGGAGGTCATGCGGAAGGAGGCGTTGCACTTGGCGCACCAGTTCTGCGCGGGCAGGCACAGCGACGTGAAGGAGGGCGGCAGCAGCGTGAGCGCCGACGGCAGCTGCAGCTGCAGGGGCCCCGCGGCCGCGGCCGCCGCGCTCTTGGGCCAGAAGGCGGTGGCGTAGAGGAAGGGGCTCTGCTTCGGGGGGAGGCCGCCGCCGCCGCCGCCGCTGCCGGGCAGGGCCGCGCACGCACCCGCGCTCAGCTCGGCGGCGCCCTGCAGCTTCACGGCCGCCAGGGGGTCGCCGGCGGCGGGGTAGAGTCTGGCGGGGCCCACGGAGTCGCCGGGGTGGCAGGGCTCCAGCGCGCCCAGCTTCTGGCCCAGCACCAGCGGCGACAGCGGCGCGAAGGAGCGCGCGGGCTGCGAGAAGGCACTTTTGCGCTCGTCCGACGCCGCGCCCGGGCCGCCCGCGCCCCCCGAGCCCGCGCCCCCCGCGCCGCCGGCGCCCCCCAGCTGCGGCACCGAGGTGAAGGCGCTGCCCCGCGCCGGGCTGCCGCCCTCCAGCCGGCCGGGCAGCGGGCCCCCGGGCCGCGGGGCCAGCAGCTTCTCTGCACCGGCGGCCGGCGAGCTGGCCACGGGCGTGGAGGAGCCGCCGCCGCTGCCCGCATCCTGGTCGTCCCCGCCGTCCGCCGCCGCCTCCTCCTGCAGCCCGGCCGCGCGGGCCGCCTTCTTCACCTCCACGAAGGCGCTGCGCTTGGCCTCGCCCGTCTCGGGACTGGGCGGCGCGAACAGGCGGCCGGTGTCCTCCAGGCCGAAGTAGCTGCCCGCGGCGCGGTACTGCTGCGGCGTGCACACCAGGTCCTCCTTGGAGGCGGGCGGGGGCCGCTCGGGGAGCCGGCCGCGGGCCCCCACCAGCCCCGCGCCGCCGCCGCCGCCCTCGGCCGCGTCCTCCGGGGGGAATTTCCTCTTCCCTTTGCCTGGGCCGGCGGCGGGGCCGTCGGGACTCAGCTCCGCCTCCTGGTGGCCGCCGCTGCCGCCCAGGCTCCGGCCCGGGGAGCAGCTGCCGCCGCCCCCCGAGTTCTCCAGCTCCCGGGCCAGGTTGTGGAAGTCCGTGGAGGGCTTGGTGGTGCCGCCGCCGCCAGCCGCGGGAGGGTTGCTGCCCTCGGGGGAGGGGGCCGGGTAGTGGTGGATGGGGCCGGCTTTGCAGAACTTGGGGCCCGGACCCAAGGGCGAGGCCTCCTGCGACTGCCGCTGCTGCTGGTCCTTGCCGCCGCCGCTCCCGTGGTCCTTGGTGCCCATGCCGCCACCGCCTTGCTCGTCGTGGGGGCTCCTGTCCGCGCTGGGGAGTCTCTTGGGGCAGCGGAAGCGCAGGTGCGCCACGTAGGGAAATTCAAACTGAAAACGCTGGCTGCACTCCAAGCATGTGTAAGGGGGCGACCCTGCTTAGAGAGCAGACACCACACACACACACACACACACACACACACCAAATGATTACTCAGCATCGTCTCCAGTTTATCATCACCCCCTTCACAAATCCACCTTCATTTCTCAGGGCCTGGGTGCCTGAAATAAGAACATCCTTTGCGTTGCGACTGGTCTAACTTGCCCTCCAGATTTGGGGGGAGTGCAGTCATTAAGCCAAGTGCCACCCCGCCTCCCACCCCGACTTTCCCTCGCCTGTCTGCCCCAGCTTCATGACATACTAGATCTCCGAAGCTTCCTAAGAGACAGATGCCCAAAGGGAGGAGAGAGATGCACAGGCGTCAGAGTGAGCTCCCCGCTGCTCCCTGCTTTGCTCCCCGGTTAGCTAGCGCCCCCCACCCCCCACCCCCCACACACACACAGGCCTGGAGCCAACCTACCATTCATTTTGCTGTGGGGTCTAGAGGGGCAGAGCAAGAGTAACTCAGTCAGTTCTTTCCCGTACCAAACTAGTAACTCCTCGTCTTTGGCAATCCTGCGGAGAGAGCGGTAAAACAGCTGTCCGTTTTTTATATAGGCCTCCAGGTTCTGCTCCTCTTTATCTCTGGCTGATTGGACCAGACGCAGCCACATGAGACCTTCTGAGGAACCACTTGCTGCGGAGGTGTCTACCTACAGTGTAGAAAAAAAGAAAGAATACAAGAAGGAAGGGGTTTGGGGAGGGAGACTCTTGTGAGAGACGGAAGCCAGAGGAACCGGGGCCATTGCCTGTATGTCATTCTTTTCCAAAGAATTATCTGAGATCAAGATTCCAAAAACCGGACCCAAGTTGGCATCCACCCTCAGGCATGTAACCAGCAGGCAAGAGAGTCGTCTTTTGAAATCTGCATCAATCATAGGTTATTTAAGTAGTCTTTTTCTCATATTGCTTGAATATAAAATGAGGAAATTTTCTTCCATTTCAAATTAGTGTTAACCTCTTGAGAATTTACTTCTAAATTATCCCGCATTACAAAAATGTGGGGGAACTTGGTTTGTTTTGGAAATAAAAAGGTGAGATCTCAGATATGATTGTGTGGCTTCACTCATCTTCCTAATTTTGGCTTAAACAATATTTGTAAAGAAAGAATGTGAAGTAAGAGTGCTTTTTTTTCTCTAAACTTAAACATATGAATTAAATGTAATTTTATTGTCAAGTCGTCTGTGCAGGAGGCAACTAATCAATGCATTTCTCTCACATGGATGTTTCTCTCTGTCCTTCCCTCTCTCTTCCACTCTCTTTAAAATCAATGGAAAAATATCCTCTGTGAGGATTTAAAGAATATTTCTTTAACATTTTTTATGTAAATACAAACTCCGGGCACTAGCTATCTCTTTCCAGAAGGGGTAATATTATTTAGGGAAACAGAAGGCCTGCTATGTTGGAAGACAAATGTCCCTAATGCTTAGGAACTTGGGATAAAAATACTTCGAGAAAGTACTTATTATGCAAATAGCCTCAATCTTCTGAAAATTCCCATAGTTAAGGCAATCACTAGGAAAGCCCAGAATTAAGTCACTGCTTTAGACATGCCTGGTATTCCAAATCAAATGCTATCATCTGTTCCAGAAAATCAATTAACAACAACTTAAGTTTAAGTTTCCTTTTCAATTTTTTGGTGTGAAAAATAGAACGACTTGCATGACTTCAATGTCTACCTTCAGAACCTCTGAGCTTGTCAATAGAATGATTCGTAGTGTGCTTGCAACAGGACATGACCCCCCCCTACCCTAGGCTGCATCGGCCAAGACTTACCCGGAAGATGTAAGGAACTGTTCTTTTGTCGGTGGACTTGAGAGCTATGAAAGCTATGCTGTCGTACAGGGAAGTATGGCTCAGGACACAGGGACCGAATATAGCGTTCTCGGGAATGTCGCAGGTGGTGTAAACGCTGGTGAAAATATCTGTCAGACACTGCTGGACAGCCTTGGCATCCCCGTCCCAGATGCCTCGCTGGATGCCCGAATCCTCCATCACTGGAGACAAATACACAGGAGTTATGTTACTCCTTTTGCCTTTATGAATCCAGATGGAGTGTTTTGAGTACTCGACAGATTTTTCTTGAATTTTGTCTGATAGTTTGTATAGCTCTTATTTCAGAAATAAAGCCAATAGCAGATTGAATCCTGCATATTGTGAAAATGCCAACTAAGGAATACTTTCCTTTTAAGAAGATATTGGAATAGTGGGAGCTCAGGGTAGATGAGAGAGAGAGAGAGAGAGAGAGAGAGAGAGAGAGAATGAATATGAGAAAATGAGATATATATATTTTTTTCAATAACTTGGGGGTGGATGGGAAAGGATTTGGGAATAGTGAAGGCAGAGGAGAGTACTAGTATTTTTTACAGACTTTCTTGACTGAAACAAACTTCAAACTCTTGGAAGAAAGCTCCTCTCCTTTCCTTCCGGGCTGATTTTATTTCGTTTTCTTCCAAAGAGGGGAGCAGCATTAGCGAACAGGTGGAGACAGCGGAGCATGGCGAATGGATTTCAAGTAGAGTGTCAGGGCCACTGATTCCGTGTCAGCTAACCTTTCTCTGCAGCCTAGGAGAGGGGACGTATGCCGGCTCATTACCATAATCCAACACTGTCCCTCCGAGGCTTTAATCAGAAGCAGCAAGCAGAGGTAATTATTTTTTTCTCGACATGCTTATTTATGGATGAGGGCGAATCCCAGTTACCTTGTTACACAAGGGGGTGGACTGAGTCGCATGTGCCTCCTGAAGTGAGAAGGTAAGGGCAGGCCAGAAGTGTCCCCTGTTTGAAATACCGCCTGGGTAATGACTGGTGAATTCTGGCTCCCCCAGATAGACCCTGTCTGGGCAAGAGGGGGCCGCCCGGCTGGAGTAGCCGTGGGTGGACTCTCCAGCTGTCGCATCCGCAGCAATTGAGAAAAGTAATGCCCGGATGGAGGGCTGTCTATTAAGCTGTCATTTGACATTTTTCTTCCTTTGCCACTGGACACTGCCTACAAGATTTATCATTAAAAAAAAAAAACATAAACAGAGCTGGTGTTTAAAATGTAAACTAGTTTTGAACTAACTGCATCATTGTTCACTCTTTCTGATCGATTCAAAGATTTCCCCATGTTGGTTTTTCCCTCCGGAACGCCACCCACCACAGGCAGTCATTGATGGATGTTTTGTATAATTTAAGTAGTAGGAAAGTGTGGACTTCAATCTTTTTCTGAGAAGCTGTTCATGATGGAATATTGATAATGTCCGTTTTTATCGTAATGTCTATAAACCAATTAATCTTGCAAATATGATTACAAGGTAGTGCTTTTTTTTTTCCTTCCCAGTTAACAGAGCATGAAACTTTGGTCAGCTTCTTCTTCTTCTTCTTTTTTTTCATTCACACTGCTGCACCCCCCAAATGTCAAGTATAGGGCTGTGCCTGCCAGACAGACATAAGCGAAATAGCCCTAAAGAAGAAACTTACTTTATGCTACCGCCTCTATCTCTGGGCATGTTTACCCCACACAAAGTAGTCTTCCTCACCTTCAACTGAACATGTAAATATATATGTTTAAAAACCCTCTAGAACCTCTCGTCTCCTTTTTTTCCACGAAATCCTGTTCTCTCTCCTTTTCAATGTTCCCAACTCAGCGTTTTCTGCCCCAATTTCTCCTTTTAAAAAAGTCTCTTTCACACAAGCGTTTCATTGTGCCCGGAGGTCGCCCCGTCACGTCGGGCAACAGCAGGGGCGCAGTCATTAAGATGCAGCTCTCCCGAACAATACGGTGCAAAGACCCGCACCGCTCAGGGGGGTCCGCGCCCGCCGCCGGGAACACCCGGGAGAAGGGAAAGCTGGGTCTGGCTCCTCCGAGCGCGGCGGGCTTAGCCACCTAGCCTCTCCCAGCTCAGCATCCTCATCCTCCATCCTCCAGGCCCCAGGTCTCTCCCGCCCGAGCATCCTTTCTGCATCCCTTCCCGAGCCGGGCAGCCCGCGCTGCCGCCGGCCGCTACCCTCCCCCGGAGGCAGGCATTGTCTGGCGGCCGCGCGCTCCCCAGCCCAGCCGCTCGCTTCTTCGGCAAAGTGCTCTCTGCCGGCTCCTCCCTTTGTATCATCTTATTGGCAGCGGCGATCCCCTCTACGATTATCCACCCCCCACCCTCTTCTAAATACTGAGGAAACAAACGGAGACACAAAAATTTTCCACTCTCCACACCAAACCTGCTGCCTCCCTTCCCCCTCCCACATTCATGCAAATAGACTTACCAGTAAGAAGGTCGGGGATGCAACGGCCAAAAAAAAACCGCCTCCTGGAACCCGGAGGAGATGCTCTCCACTGTTTCTTTCGCCTTTTGTATCAGTGCGTGTCCATGTCCAGGGGTGTAAGTATTGCTCTCTAGGAGGCTCTGCCTAAAGAGAGGGCAGAGAGCTGGAGAGATGGGGAGAGTGAAATGATGGGAGAGCAAGAAGAGAGAGAGAGAGAGAGAGAGAGAGAGAGAGAGAGAGAGAGAGAGAGAGAGAGAGAGGAGAGTTGTACAGATGGACCCGATGCAGTGACTGACTGGCACGCAGACACACACTTTTTGTTTGCTGCACATAATCTGCCCAATGACGCGTGACAGCCCACGTCCCCTCCCGTTAACTCTTTGCTGGGCTGGGCGCTCCCGCTGGCGCTGGCTGCCTGCAAGCCATCTCCCCCGCCTGCCTTCCCCAAGTGGCAGCTCCTCTCTGCGCACCACCTCCTCCTAAAGCATCGCCTCTCTGAGACCAGTAGGAAGGGGAATCAGTTGGGGGAGGGGGGTCCCAAAGGGAAGTACCCACAGAACTGTCAAGGGCCTTTCCCCGTTTCCCTGGGCACTTGGAGAACCCTGGACAGAAAGATGGAACCCTTGGCTGCACCGACCCGAGCGCATTGCATTTCCTGGAGTCGGAGTTCTGTGCTGGGGAAGGGGGGTCTCAGATGAGCCCAAGGGATGGATTCTCTGGCCCCTGAGCTGGCACTGGTCCTCCGCGCAGCTAGTTGCCTGGGGTTGATAAATCAGCCCCAGCTCTCTCTCTCCAGGAGCTCGCACCCCACCAAGCTCTTCCTAGCAAGCAAGCATCAGAAAGGGTGCGCTTTGGCAAGCTTTTGGCCCACTCTCTCTGCCTCTGCGGAGCGAGAGATGGGGCAAGGCAGCGAGTGTGGAGATGCTGCCAGGCCTAAGGGGATTGACAGGGGTCGCCTGGTCCCGGGACACCAGTCCCCTGGTCAGTCCCCGGGTGGGGAAGCGGGGAGGAGAAGATGGGTGGGATGAACCCAGGTTATAGTCCTCAAGCTATTCCCACTGTTCCGCCCTCTGCCCTGCGCATTCTGCAGAGTCCCTGACGGGGTTCCACATTGGGGTCCACCCGCAGTCTAAGATCTCCGGAGGTGGGGGGGGGGGGTGGTGGTAGAGGAGTCGGGAGGAGGGAGTCAAAGTAAAGATCATTACCGAGCTGTGCTCCGGAGGGGTGCTGCCGTCCAGCCGGTGGTGGGAGAGTGGGTGGAGTGGTCAGGCTGCCTCCGGAGCTCCCTGTGCGCTGAGCCACTCAGAGGCGCTGGCTGGCCCCTGTAGGGCAGCAGCTGATGCTAATGACTTGAGGTCTTTAACAGCCTGAAAGTTGACTCCTTCCACAGACCGCCACGCATTTTCGCCAGGGATTCTGGGGTTCTTTCTCGCAGTTCAACTAAGGGAGGAAAGGCCTTTGAGTGGGATAGGCGGTCCCACTCCCTCACCACCCCCTCTCCCCAGCACTATTGCATTGAAGAGGGCAATCTGTGAGCTTTTAGGTACATGGGCTTCATAGCCGGCCAAAGTGGGCACAGCAGAATGGCAACCAGACACAACCGAGGAGAGGAAACAGCCTGGGTTTACCCCGCGTCGGAACGAGGCGGTGGGTTGGGGGTTGGGAAGAGCCGCTTTAGAGGAAAGGATGCGCAAGGTGTTAGTCTGAGCCTCTCTCACAGCTCTGGGACCTCCCTCCCTCCTGAACCCAGTGAGGCAGCGAGGCTCTGAACGCCTCTCCTCCCGGTGCCTGCGGTCCAAGGAGGCCAGAAAAGGATTCTGCTGAGGAGAAGAAGAACAAAAAATATGCGATGAATTTCCCACAAAGTGAGTTCTTTTCTCTTTGGTCTTTCTCTCTGTGTTCCCTTCTCTTTTCTCCGGGCCCTGGTCAATCCACACATAACTTTCTAGTCCTTCCCATCAGAAGGAGCTGTCACCTAGGATTAAGCTGGAGTTCAGGGTTGGAAAATCCCCATACATATTCGGGGGAGATGGGGGTGGGGATTATCCATTAATTTCGGATTTAGCCACTGATTTTTTCAATGAAAGCTTCTCAAACAGCAGTTGTGTTTTAACTTATCATTTCTCTGTATGCACATGTGCACACTTTTAAATATTTTGGCTAAGGGTAACTCATGTAATGACCAAGGCTCTATGCTGAGGGTTCTCACAGGTCCATGTATGAAAATCACTGTATTTAGCCATCGATTGTCTTATGACTGGATGCTCCATTAATATCTCTCTCTCTCTCTCTCTCTCTCTCTCTCTCTCTCTCTCTCTCTCTCTCTTTCCCTCTCTCTCTCTTTCATCTCTCCCCCACCATCACTTGTTTAAAGAAAGGGTAGGAATTAGAAATGTCAAAATGTGCTTTAAGCACCTCAAAAATAACCCACAATGTGAAAAATTAGTCCCCAGGCATTTACATGAATTCAGAGGATACTAAAAGGATAAAGAAAGAGACACCAGTATAAACAGGAGCAAATTAAGATGAAGAAGTTGCCACAAGAGAGTTGTGGTCTCTTAGAAACTACAGACTGATAAAGAGAAGGAAGGTGTGTGAGTGGTTTGGGGACAGTGAACTCAAACCTAATTCCATTAAACTGTTGAGCAGAACATTCCTTAGACCCTTCTTTCGCTGTTATTTAGAGAACAGGAAGTTTGCCTTTCCCAAAAAAAAAGCATCTGCCCATGCGAGCCATTTAAAAAAAAATCTATTACATGTTCTAAATATAAAAGCATCTATTCCAGGATGTGGACATTCTGGAAAACCTTAAACTCTAAATGGAAGGCATTTTTCTTTTGCCTGGCCTTTCTTTTCTTAAATGAAAAGGACATATCTTAGACTCTAACTCCTTTGAGGTACTAAAATCTAGATTCCAGTTTGCATGAAATAATGTTTCTGGTACTTAAGTTAGGAGTAAGGAATCTTGACTTTCCAAATCTCAAGCAGAAAATAGCTAAGATGTATCAAGGAGGGGAGAGATGTATTGAGAATGTGGCCATCAAATGATATTTCCTCTCAGTTTCATCCTTCTGCCCCCTAATTAGATTTCCCCTATTTACTTTTTTTTGGGGGGGAGTACCCCAAAGAAAATAATTTCTGACATTTCACAAATCCAACCAATGCTTTGTCTTATGTATTAAATGACTGACATAACAAAACAACAAAAAAAGCAAAAATGGGTAAGATAAAGCTATAAACTCCTGTTTTGCAGGTTTTCCAGTATTTTAAGTGGTACATATTTGCTTGGTAATATAAACGGTCCACAATGCCATCACTGAAAGGAGGTAAAGAAAATCTACAGGTTATGTTTATTTCTCTGGAAATGCATGGATGAAAATGGTGCATAAACTACTTTGAAATCACTCTACATTATTACTCCCTGGAATTCACTGACACTAAATAAAGGCTTGAGGCATTTATTCAGCCTTAAAGAGTGCTATAAAAGTATATCTTGGTCAACAGTTTTATCTAATTCACATGGAACAATGAGTTTATGCATATATTTGGAGCTCTTTGCTCTGGGGGTTATTTCCAATTAAATAATTAAAAGGATGACAATGAAGAGTGAGGATGTGTTCACTTAGCTCCACTTCAGCAAGGTTCCCAGCAGTCACGGTAAAGATACATATGTAGACAACTGCAGTACTGTTTGGGAAGAGGCAGTTGGAGAGAGGCCAGTGAATGAATGATTCCTGAAGTGAAGCCTTTTCCAACCCAAGTGAGAGGATGGAGAAAGGGTAAGAGAGGAAATCTGATTCTTAAAGAGTATTAGAATGTACATGTTGTTTCTCTCCCCAGGGTAGAGAAATGGGGCCCCAGATATCTCAACTTCTATGATAGGAGTCAGGTAAGGAGTCTGTAAGGATAACTCACTTAGAAGGATTGTTACCCTAAAAGAATGAAGATACATTGTTTTTCTTTATCTTTTTCTAGGTCCTGGTTCGTCCGCCACTAAAATTCTATTTCCAAACCTCTACACCAGCAAAGGTTTAGTTGTCAAAAAATATATAGCAATTCATGGTGAAGGGAAAACATACCGGAAGACAAGACAGATGCCAAGAAAACAGACAATGGAAAGTTTTTCCTAAGCTTATTATTTTCCCACAGAAAGGTCTCTGGAAGGGGCTGTGAGAGTTGGGGGAGGCAGGAAAAGGAACTTCGTAGCCTCACAATGGAGACTATGGAAGTTTCTAGGGAATCACTTAGAGGCAAGAAGAGGAAGACTTGCTGAGCTGGATGAGCTGGATGGGGGACAGTGTTGGTTTTTTATTATTATTTGTTTTTAGTTTTTTAAAGTATACATGGCAATCTCATTTTGGGTCTAAGTTTGTAACTAAGTATTTCAGTTGGTTCAACAGGTGATAAATCAGTGAATGTTTCCCAGGCTGGTCCTGGGAGAGCAAAAAACATAAGGAAAAGATGGATAATTTTGTAACCTGTGATAGACCCTAGACTCCCAATTCCTGACTCACATTTTTCTCTCTTCAGCATTTCCTCTTTCTCAATAAATGATGGCTGTTTTTAATGCTTCTGCTGCTGCTGCTGCTGCTACTTCTACAACTACTGCTGTCACTTCTCAAGTTTGAAACCAAGGTATCTCAAGTTCCATTTGCCATTATGTTGGAGTTCAGCAGTGAGCTGGATAAGGTTTGAGGACTTTGTGTAATTAATTCATTTCCTCTCCTAGATCTATCTGGGTTGTAGTCAGCTGGCTCAATGGCTTCTGAGTATGACTTCCAGCAGAGTTAGTAACTGAGATGATAAAGGCACCACCACAAATCTGAAATCAATGCCTCATGGTCACCTGTGACTCAGATCCAATACTCAGGATCTTGACCAACTGGATTCTCCCAGCCTTTATATGCCTTCCCAAATAAATATCTACAGAGCAGACAAGGAGTATCCTAGCTTCCTGTAAAATCTGCAGGTTACAAAGGTTTTTGAGAGTCAGATGCTGCAATCTTGCACAGACCTCATTAGCAGGAGGAAAATTGGAGGAAGGAAATGTAGGAAGGACCACCGTCAGCCATGCTGGGCCTCCTTATCCTCTGGGCCAAGCTTTCCAGGCAGACTGGGGACCAAGGTGTGTCCAGCCATCTCAAATGGGAGACAGCATCAGATTTTGAGAAGATTGACTCTAGACCTTAGGAATGTCACCAAGTTGAGAAGCTCTACCTAGAATTTTTTTGCACAACCAGGAAAAAGGAACATTATCTCAACACTCAGGATTTGAGTTCCACCTCATTTCCTCTTTCTTTTAGGCTGTGTGTAATTCCTGAGTTAAAAAGAGAGATGCTTATTGACATACAGTGGGTACATACTG